TCTATTCTATTCTATTTCTATTCCTGTTCTATTCTTCTATTCTATATTCTATTCTATTATTCTATTCCAATATTTTATTCTATTCTTCATTCCATAATTCTATTCTATTACTGTGTTCTATTTTATTCCATTCTATTCTCTATTCTACTATTCTATTGTACTCTATTCCAATATTCTATTTTTCATTCCATAATTCTATTCTATTATTCTAATTCTATTCTGTTCTATTCTATTCTATTCTATTCTATTCTATTCTATTCTATTCTATTCTATTCTATTCTATTCTATTCTATTCTATTCTATATTCTATTCTATTCTATTCTATTCTATTCTATTCTATTCTATTCTACTCTACTCTACTCTACTCTACTCAACTCTACTCTATTCTATTCTATTCTCTTGTATTCTATTCTATATTCTCTTCTCTATTCTATACTATTCTCATTCTATTCTAATTCTAATTCTGTTCTATCCCCTAGCCCAGTGTTTCTCAACTATGGCAACTTTGAAGACAGGCGGACATAGCTGGCTAGGGGATCCTGGGAGGTGAAGCCCAGCCGTCTTAAAAGTTGCCCCAGTAGAGAAAAGGGGAAAAAAAAAAGTCGGCTTGCTTTGTTGGGGAGGCACCTTTTTCGGTCCCCACAGATGGCCGGGGGGGGGATTCTGGGAGTTGAAGGTCACGGACCTACCTGACACTTTTCTGGGGGAGAGAGAAGGCCAAGGTTGGCTCACCCGACTTGCTCTCATTCCTTGCCAGGATGCCGGCTGGACAGTCACTAAGCGAGGATTGGGGCAGGTCTAAGGCGGGACCAGATTCACCTAACGACTGTGTGGCTCACTTAATAACGCCCCCCCCCCCAGCCCTTACCTCGATGGACGTGAAGATTCGTGCCAGGGACCCGGCGAAGAGCAGGAAGGTTGTGATGGCTGAGAGCTGGCCGGTGTGGCCATTGCGGTAGTTGGTGGCTGCTTGCAGGAGCTGTGGGAGAGAGGAACCACCCTCGTGAGGGGAGGGGGCAGTGCATGATGCCGGGGCCAGCTGGCCAACGTGAGGGGCTCGGGGGGGGAGGGTCTAGGCCGTCTGTCAGCCCTCCCAGTGGAGAGTCAACAGCCCCCCAGGTCTGGAAGGGGCTGAAGAGGAAGAGGAGGAACAGCTGGATCCATTGCCTGATGTGCAGAAGGCAGAGGAGAGGAGAGCCGTGGAAATCTATGGGCCGGTCCTCGGGGCGGGAAGAGGGAATGGAACTGGCAGAGAAAGAGAGAGAGAGAGACACACACACACACACACACACACACTCACACACACTGAGGAGACTCCTGGGCCAACCATATGCCTTCTGATGGACAGTCAACAGCCTCCCAGGTCTGGAAGGGGCTGAGGAGGAAGAGGAGGAACAGCTGGCTCCAGTGCCTGATGTGCAAACTGCAGAGGAGAGGAAAGCAGTGGAAATCTATGGGCCGGACCTCGGGACGGGAGCTCCATGGGGGAAGAGGGAATGGAGCTGGCAGAGAAAGAGATAGAGTGGCAGAGCCTGGACCGTCTGTCAGCCCTCCGATGGAGAGTGAACAGCCTCCCAGGTCTGGAGGGGGCTGAGGAGGAAGAGGAGGAAAATCTGGCTCCATTGCCTGACATGCAGAAGGCAGAGGAGAGGAGAGCCGTGGAAATCTATGGGCCGGGGTTGAGGTAATTCCCCGTTAGGAGAATGAGTACACACAGGGAGATGTAGTTAGAGTACTGTTGAATAACACACGACCAGCACACAGATACACTGAATAGTAAAATGTAGGTTTTTACATCCAGTAAACAGTTAAGCAAAGTCCAACAAACAGTCCAAGTCATACGCGGTTATAGCAGTCAGTTTTCAGTCCTGGGATAATCCAAATATCAAAAGTCCAGTATCATAAACAGTTCAGTAAATAGACTCACAGCAATCCAAGAAGAACGATGATCAACAAGAGTCGGTAGGAAAAATGCAGGAACCAAAAACAGCGAACATCTAGCAACAAGCAACTCACAGCGACAACAGAACAACCCAGGTTTCTGGCTCCGTCTTAGGGCCATTTGAGGAGCCACATCCAATTACAATTTTAGCATTCCCTTAAAGAGACAGTATTAAAATGTCTACCCTGGTTTATATATTTTCCAACCCAGCTGTTAGGTGACTATCAATTCCTAACAGCCGGTTCTTGGGATGAGAGCTCCACGAGGGAAGAGAGAATGGAACCTGCAGACACACACACACACACACACAGGCGGTGCCTGGGCCGGCCATCAGTCCTCTGATGGAGAGTCAACAGCCCCCAGGACTGGAAGTGGCTGAGGAGGAACAACTGGGCCCAGTGCCTGATTTACAGAAGGCAGAGGAGAGGAGAGCAGTGGAAATCTATGGGCCAGTCCTTGGGACGGGAGCTCTGTGGAAGAGGGAATGGAGCAGGCAGAAAGAGAGAGACAGAGGGGCCAGAGCCTGGGCCATCCGTCAGCCCTCCCAGTGGAGAGTCAACAGCCTCCCAGTTCTGGAGGGGGCTGAGGAGGAAGAGGAGGAACAGCCGGGTTCAGTATCTGACGTGCAGAAGGCAGAGGAGAGGAGAGCAGTGGAAATCTATGGGCCGGTCCTCAGGTTGGGAAGAGGGAATGGAACTGGCAGACACACACACACACACACACACAGAGGAAGCGCCTGGGCCAGCCATCAGCCCTCTGATGGAGAGTCAACAGCCTCTCAGGTCTGAAGGGGGCTGATGAGAAGAGGAGGAACAGCTGGCGCCATTGCCTGATGCACAGAAGGCAAAGGAGAGGAGAGTAGTGGAAATCTATGGGCCGGTCCTCGGGACGGGAAGAGGGAATGGAACTGGCAGAGAGAGAGAGAGAGAGAGAGAGAGAGATGCCTGGGCCGGCCATCAGCCCTGAGATGGAGAGTCAACAACCCCCAGGTCTGGAAGGGGCTGAGGAGGAAGAGGAGGAACAGCCGGGTTCAGTGCCTGATGAACAAACTGCAGAGGAGAGGAGAGCAGTGGAAATCTATGGGCCAGTCCTCAGGACGGGAGCTCCGCCAGGCAAGGTAGCCTTCTCAAGAAAGCCCTCCCTCCTCCCATGATCTCGGTGTGTGTGGTGTGTGTGTGTGTCTCCCACTTACCCTGCTGGTGGTGGCAGTGGGCATGTTCGACACCTGGAGGGTAGTCACGATCACGGACGGGGTGAGCGGAGAGAGCAGGAGAGCCAGGAGGGCGAAGTAGGTGAAGAGGAAGGCCAGGCCTGCACAGAGAAGTGGGGTTGTGACGTGACGCTTCCGGTCCTCCCCCCTCATTCCCTGCCTCGCCCCCCTCCCCGACACCAAGCACAAGGACGATGGGGCACCAGAGAGGCATTTGCCTAAGGTGCTTTTTCACAAAGAGCTTTCGCTTCTCCTCTGCCAAGGAGCTTCATTGCTTCTGCAGAACTGGACCCGAGAACGGATGAAGCCTCTTTGGGATGAGAAGCGAAACCTCTTCAAGATAAAAAAAAAAAACCAACAACCACCGAGGAGACAGAATTCTGGAGCAGAAAAAAACTGTAAAAATTGGTTTTCCTCCCCAAAGAGATCTCCCCCCCCTACCATAAAGCACTTCCGCCGTGCCCCTCTCCAAACCCACCCCCCAACTGCCCTCCACCCTGTTTCCTCGCCGACTTACCCCGCCTGGTCTGGCCCCCAAAATGCTGCACCATGAAGCCGATGGAGACCGTCTGCAACATGATGAAGAAGGCTTCTCCCCAGGCGCTGCGGGGTGGAGTGGGGGGGGAGAAAAGAGGGCAAGGGGAGGGGTAGGTGCTCTGACCAACGGGAAGGGCAGGAGGACTGGCAGCCCTTGCTATCATCCAGACCCACCCAGCCACCCACCTACTCGGGGCAGGGCGGTGAGATCTGCCTGGCCTACAGCGTTTTCCTTCCTCCTTGCCGTAAAAGTGTATTCCCACCTTCAAATCCCTTCCCTAAGGCGGGACTAGAACTCCCTGTTTCCTGGTGATTGGACCAAAGTCACCCAGCTGGCTTTCATGCCTAAGGCGGGACTAGAACTCCTATTCTCTTGGTGATTGGCCCAAAGTCACCCAGCTGCATTTTGTGCCTAAGGCGGGACTAGAACTCC